TGAAATGGTAAATTCGTTATGTTTTAATTTTAAAAGGGTATATTTGTGCAAAAACTTAGTAGAGGGTCATGTTTGTTAATTTACGATAGTAAAGGAGTAAAAAATGCTATTAACCCGACATGCCATATAAGGAGCAAAGAGCCTGGACCATAGGGATGGCAATTTCGAGCTGAGTCTATTTACCCGTCCTGTTTGACCTATTTTGGAGCGGGGCAGGCATGGGTACTCTCATCTACCTGACCTGCCCTGACCCGCCCCATTTGCGACCTGTTCTTAGCTAAATTACATGCAATTGTTGTTAAATTACTTAGGATTTTCCTTTTATTGCATCATATTTTAGCTATAGTAAAGTTATAAATTAGTGAAAACCTCAATTTCTCCAATAATTTAACTACATTTATCACACTATGGTTTGTTTCTTGGTCTTATAATGAAATTAACGAATATTTCTAATGTTTTCCATATAAATTACATACCCATTGGGTCGATCTGCCCTGACTCGCGCCCCGTGATAAATTACCTGACATGAACTCGATCTGCCATGGGGTGGGAACGAGTATCGAGATACCCGCCCCAGACCTGTCCATTGCCATTCCTACTGGGCCCTGTTAGTGTGAAAGCGGGAGACCGAGCAAGACGCGGATTACTCAATGTCTCCCTAAAATTAATATAATTGCACTAACTAAAATGCTAATATTATCTCTTTACCACTTTCTCTTTTTTATTATTAGAGAATATTTTATGGGAGTTGCTAAAGGTCGCCCTTAAAATTGCTAAAGGTCGCCCTAAAAAGAATAAAAGTTACACTTTTAACCCCCATAGCTTCTTTACCTTCCCTTCCTCAAACAAACATCACTTGGACTAAAAAAACACTCTCTAAGGAGAGAAAAATCTCTCATCGTCATTTTGAAGCCGATATCGTCGATAGGACGTCTGAATCATGAGTAGCGACTCCGACGAGGTAAGAACATGAACAAAAAAAAAAAAAAAAAAACAGAAAATGGGAACCGCGGGTGATTTGCGGTCCGACCATGGTCCAACCGCAAGTGACCTGCGGTTGAACCATGGCTGGACCGCAAATCACCTGCGGTTGAGCCATTGGTGGACCGCAATTGACCTGCGGTTGGACCATGGTCGGACCGCAAATCACCTGCGGTTCAGCCATGGTCCAACCGCAGGTCAATTGCGGTCCACCAATGGCTTAACCGCAGGTGATTTGCGGTCCGACCATGGTCAAACCGCAGGTCACTTGCGGTTGGGCATTTTTTGGTTTTTTTTTTTTTTTTTTCGTTGAATAATTTTTTTTTTATATGATTTATGATTGTTCCATGAAATAATTTGTTGGGTTTTGATTTATATAATTTATTAGATTTATTTGCATAATTATTTTTGGAATTGAAGGATTTAGCATTAGAAATTAAGATTAGATTTTTGGAATTGAAGGATTTAGCATTAGAAATTAAGATTAGATTTGGCCTTAAATTAAGATTAGATTTAATTTGGTGTTAATCTAGAAAATTAAGATTAGATTTTGCATTACAAATTAAGATTAATATAATTTATTAGATTTATTGGGTTTTGATTAGATTTTTGGAATTGAAGGAATTAGCATTAGAAATTAAGATTAGATTTGGCCTTAAATTAAGATTAGATTTAATTTGGTGTTAATCTAGAAAATTAAGATTAGATTTTGCATTACAAATTAAGATTAAATTTATTGCATAAATAATAGATTCGCATATGAAGTTATGATGATTATTAATTTTAATACTGATAACATTGCAGGATATTGGAAGTTACAATCCGGATGGCCATGATTACACCTCGGATTTCATTGATGGCGTGAAATACACTACGGAGTTGCAAGCATATGAAGCAGCCATTGAGATTGCAAAGGGTTTTGGGTTTTATTTGGTGAGGGCATCGAACAAAAAAAATACGAATGAAGGTACTTGGCGACATTACTTACATTGCACTCATGGTAGGAAGAAGAAGTCGAAGGAACCTGATCCGAGTAAGGAAACGAGGCCTCTTACATCTACTGAAAAGTTGGGGTGCGAGTTTAAGATCAAGCTTGAGCGGTCAGGTGATGGATATTGGTTGATCCTAGGGGTGGCAAATACAAAGAATCCTGGTGCTAATTTGGGTTTCCACAATCATCAGTTGGAGCTATTTCCGGAGGGATCAAAGGGAAGGAATGTTTTGACTACAGAGGACAAGCAATACATCAGAGAGCTGAGATCAGCCGGTGTCCCACCAAGGAATATCCACAAGGCAGTGAATGACAGAAAAGGTGCAAATGGAACACACAACAGAAAGCAGATTTATAACGAGTGTCACAAGATAAGGAAAGAAGAGCTTGGTCAGATGACAGCCTTACAGTATACTTTCCGCATGGCGCAGGAGAAGGGTTACTATGTGCAGTATATGGACGATCGTAACGTGCTTACACACTTGTTCCTAGCCCACCCCGAGTCAATATTGATGTTGCGAGCTTGGCACCATGTGATCGTGATAGATGCAACATACAAGACCAACAAGTATGATATGCCTTGGGTTGAGATTGTCGGCATGACACCAGTGGGATTGAACTTTGTCATTGCATCTGCAATAGTGTACGACGAGACGAAGGAGTCGTACCAGTGGCTTCTGACGCATTTGCAACATCTTCTTGGCCCCATTGTTCCAGATGTGTTTGTCAGTGACAAGGCAGGAGGATTGGTTGAGACCGTGGGGGTAATGTTTCCATCATCGACTCATATTTTATGTCTTTGGCATATGGATAGGAATGTGAGAGCAAAGTGTCTAACGGAGGTGCGAAGGACGACTCATTGTGGTATAGATGCAGCCAAACCGACAGTGGATCAGATCATGGCGTCTTGGCAACGTGCTGTATATGCATTGACAGTGGAAGACATGGATACTGCCTTAGAGAATTTCAGACGTGGTTGGGGAGTACAGTACCGACGTCTTTGGGGGTATATGACAGCTGAGTGGTTACCAGTTAGACACATGTGGGCTAAATGTTATACCAATCAACTGCGGCATTTGGGTAACACAAGCTCTAATAGGGTTGAAGCTGCCCATTCCTCCTTCAAGAAGTGGCTTCAATCATCTACTGGCGCAGTCGACACGGTTAGTAATCTAATAAATCTTTATTGATACACACATAAGTTTTAGTAGTTTCCTAATTGTTCTTCATTGTTTGTAGGTATACAAGAAGAACGATGATTACATTGAGGCTCAACACCTTCAAATCAGGAAGCTGCTGGAGGATTCCCGACAAAAGAAGCTGCTCCGAGCGGATGGAAAACCATTTCGAGAGTTGAATACGAAAGTCACTCTAGAAGCTCTGAGGTTGATGTTGTTCGAGGTAGCAGTGGAAGGGGAACCTTGTACATGTACGTTTCTTCCTACCTATGGTCTCCCATGTAGATGTTCCATTCAGTTAGCACGACGTGAAAATCGGGATTTCGCCTTGTATGATGTGTTGCCATTCTGGACCGTTATCAACTATCGTGAACCTCCTACTCGGCCGGAGTGGGATGACCATAGTGATTACCACCGTGGTGTGTTCCAAGGTCTAGTACAGGAGGTTCTTGATAGAGGCGACGAGACCATTCGAGGTGCAATCGGCCTACTCCGGAGCCATCTTCATCCTGAAAATGATGGCATTGATGAACCGCATGGGGGACAGCCCCGCCCCGGTCGCCCAAGGACGTCCACCACTCGAAACCTGTCTCACTTCGAGCATGTGGAGAGGAGACGAGGGAGGAGAAGTTCAAGACTTCCGACTGCAACTCCGGACAATGATGGAAATACAGGTAGATTAACTTTTTCTTTTAGTTGTGTTCAATTGTCCTCAATATGGTGTACAACTAATCTATTTATTTTAAATGAGATAGGTGGTGCCCCGAATGTGAATGCACAAACCAACTTCGAGGATGAGACGGAGCCGATCCATAATGATACAGGTTAGAAATTATATTCCTAATTTCGGGTAAACATATAGTGTAACTCTTTGTATTAATTTATCGTGTTATGCTCTTTGGCTAGATGGTGCACCGAATGGGAATGCACAAACCAACTTCGAGAATGGGACGGAGCCGGTGATCCATAATGATACAGGTTAGAAATTATATTCCTAATTTCGGGTAAACATATAGTGTAACTCTTTGTATTAATTTATCGTGTTATGCTCTTTGGCTAGATGGTGCCCCGTGGAGGGTTGCTCGGATTCCCAATACTAGTTGGAAGAATTACCCATGGCTACATTGTTTGGAATCCTACGTGCAACGACTAGTTCGTGGTTGGTTCAACCCTATTCCAGATGGACACTGTGGATTTCGAGCTATATCACAAGCAGCTACTGGGGACCAAAGGAATTGGCCACAAATGAGACGCGCTGTTCTAGAGGAGCTTGAATCCCGTCCTGAGCTTTATAGAGCCTACTATGATGGAATAGCAAATGGAATAGAAGATGGCATTCGACGTTGCAGGTGGGCATCAACAAGTGGCTGTGGACCTTTCAACTGGATGGATAATGCGGAACTCTCTATTGTATAACTCTCTATTTACGAATTGTATAACTCTCTATTGTTGAAACATTTAGTAATCTACCATGTTGATTAACTATTTTAGCAATGCATTGAATGTAACTAAAGTAAAAAAACACACAACCGTCTCAATTAAACTACAAACGATGACAAATAAAACACACAATAGTCATAGTTCAACTACAAACGATGACAAATAAAACACACAATAGTCTCAGTTCAACTACAAACGATGACAAATAAAAACACAATCGTCTACTGAGGCGGCTGCCCTACCAACTGATCGTACAACTCGAAAACTCCAGCTGCCATATCATAGAGCTTACCACCGTCCTCCTCCCACTTACTCCGGTCCCTCGTCTGCAACAAGGGGCCTAAACGATCCACAATCTGCTCTCTCAACTGTAAATAGAAAACAATGTTAGAATAAATAACAAATGTCCTTTATATTTGGAAAAGCAAAAGAAAGTCATAACTAACCTGATGAACTAGTAGTGGTCGAGGCTGAGGCTCCTCATCAGTGGGGTGGGTGATCCGTGGGTGCGATCTAGTCAGAAACCAGTCAACGTACTCCTCCACGATCTCCGATGGCTGCTCGCACGGCCGAGAAGCAAAATCCAACTCTAGACGACGAGCTGCCACGTTATTCCACAACTGATTCACCCACGGATCCCAAAAGACTATGTAACTGCTGCCGGAAGCCGGACGGTAATGGTCATGTGGTACCGTCATAGCAGCGGGGATAATCTGTCGGTATCCAAACTGGCGCAGACAACGTGAAGGATCGTATCCCTCAGCAATGTCAGAAAAGCGAATGGGGCCAGTATACAAGGAGCGGGGTATATCTGTGTGGCCATCTCGTCCGTACGGAGTCCAGGTCACATCATCAGCTGAAAGCTCATCCAACAACTGTCGATAACGTACTAACCTCTGTCTAGCCTCATCCCCACCTGGCAAACGGGGAGAAATCCACGAGGAAGCACGAGGTGCATCCGGAGACTGTGGCAGCTGGCTCGGACGGAAAAGAGGAAAGTACTCATATATCCAAGCCTGAAGCAGGGTCAAACAACCACAAAGACCCTTACTACCCGCTCGTGTGGCCACTCCCAACTGTCTGTAGAGATAGGCTAGTGCACCAGCTCCCCAAGCGTAATCAGCCAATCGTCGATGATCCTTCAGAAACAAGTTGATCGCAGGACGAAGGCGATCACGACTCTTATCCACAAAAAGCGTGGATCCCAGCAACACAAATAGGTAACACTGCACCTCCATCTCCTTAATCTTCAGCTCTCCCCCACGCACCAACAATCCCTCTGCATGCATAGCACCATTATCGTACCACTTCGACTTCCACTTACCACCAACCTGAGCATCCACCGAAAGTCGAACTAGACCACCCATGTCTGACTTAAGAGTATCCTGCGACGCCTCATCTCCCATCAGCTCTCCGTCAACCGGTATCCGAAGAATGTGATGCACATCGTGTAGAAGGATCGAAATCTCTCCAAACGGCATGTGGAAGGTGTTTGTGTCCGGCTGCCACCTCTCCACAAATGCCGACAGTAGAGCCATGTCTAAATGCTGCATCATGCACCCCGTCAAGTGAGACAATCCTGTGGCTTCAACCATCTCCTTGGAACCCTCTGCACTCCACTTATATCGCCTCAAAGTCTCTACAGCTCTCGGCCTATGGAAGCCGTCCAACACTCCACGGTCCTGCTCAGGGGAATTCCACAGTACCAAGCCAATGTGACCTCCAAAGCTAGGGATCACATCGGGAATCACTGGTCCACCTGAACACATCGGAGACTCGGCTGTAAGAAACCACGACATATCTTTCCTCGTGGTCTTCCTCTTCCTATTTCCATCTCCGCCATCCTCGCTACTAGGTCTGGACGCATAGCGTCCATCGGGCCCACGGAAGTGGGAGGAGGCAGTAGAAGATACCCCGACCCGTGCCGTCTTCCCCACGCCTAAATCAGCTTGAGGTGGGGCATCCCCAGCCTCAGCATCACCAGCACCATCAACAGCATCATCAACAGCAGCATCACCAGCAGCAGCACCAGCATCTGGGGCATTCCCAACCTCAGCATCACCGTCATCATCATCATCCTCGTCAATGGAATCACTCCAATTAGCCTGCCATACCGGTGCGGTATCTGGTGTAGGAGTACTGGTAGTGCCTCGACTAAGAGACAACTGCCCCACAGTAGGGTGGCCGTCAGGACGCACTACATCCGCCTTCTTCTTCCTTCTAACCTTAGGTGGATTTTTTTCTTCATTTTCCTTCCTACCAGTCGCCGTAAGTCTACAAGCACGACCCTCCATTCTCTCCTTATTTCTCGCCTTAATCATATCCGGTTTACCTATTCCATGTCCAGACATCTTCAAAAAAAAGTTTGAATTATTAATAATGGAGTACATAAAGTAATTAATTTAAGATTTTCATAATTAAAATTATAAAACTAATAGTTTTAACATTTATGTTACGTTCTATGTAATAATTATTTACTTTTTAATCAAGGTAAAATTATTAATAATTAAGTAGATAAACGAATTACTTTGAAATTTTGATTATTAAAATGATAAAAACACATTTTTAATTTTTTTATAATGTTCTTTAAATTTGTTATCTTTAAATAACAATTATCGAATACGATTTTAATTTTTTTTTATATAACTAAATTATAACTAAATTAACATTTATCGAATACGTTATTATTAATTATCATTATAACTAAATTAGTATTTATCAATAATATAACTAAATTCTTTTATTATGTATATTTTTTTAATTTTTTTTATTATTATTAACATTAAACACAGAATTTAAAAAACAGAATTTTAAAAAAAAAAAGCCGAACCGCGGTCAACGCGCGGTTTGACCGACGGTCAACCGCGGTCAACGCGCGGTTGGACCTGCGGTCAACCGCGGTCAATGCGCGGTCCGACCAGCGGCTGACCGCGGTCAAAGCGCGGTTTACCCATCGGTCAACCGCCCTTTGACCGCGGTCAGCCGCTGGTCGGACCGCGCGTTGACCGCGGTTGACCGCAGGTCCAACCGCGCGTTGACCGCGGTTGACCGTCGGCTCAACCGCGCGGTGACCGCGGTTCGTGCAATTTTTTTTTTTTTTTCTTACCTTCTTCTCCACGCGGCTGGAGGCGACGGGGCGGCGACGGGAGGCGACGGGGCGGCGACGGGAGGCGACGGGGCAGGCGACGGGAGGCACGGGGCAGGCGACGGGCGGCGACGGGGGCGGCGGGCTGGCGGCGGGAGGCGACGGGGGCGGCGGCAGGGGGCGGCAGGGGGCGGCGGGCTGGCGTCGCCGGCGGTGGCAGGGGGCGGCGGGCCGGCGGCGGGCTGGCGTCGCCGGCGGTTGAGGGGGAGGGAGTGCAGAGGTGAGGAGTTGGGGGGAGGGGGAGGGAGAATGAATTTTTGAATTTGCCTTAAGGGCTTGTTTGTTTTGAGTTTTTGCTTAAGGGCATGTAGGTAATTTTATATTTTAGTTAGGGCGATGTTTAGCAATTCTTAGGGCGACATTTAGCGATTCAGTATTTTATCAATATGGGTATATATAATATGTGAAATTTTTGTAGTAGATAGAAGAAGGTTGTTGAAACGAGCTTCAATGGTGGTACGACAGAGGAGAAGCGGTTGTGGAGGAGTATGACTGTGGCAAGACAAAGGAGGGTTGTTTGGAGCGATCTTTATTGGCGACGGAGCGATGTATTGATTGTGATTTTTAACGATGGAGGTGGGTTGGATTGCAGGTGGTCGGCATACAGGGGGAAGAGAGGTGAAACCGTTATTGTTTGTTTTGTTGGTTCTTTTGTTAGGCTCATTAACGTTAATTTTGTGATTTAATAGTTTAGTTAGGGTGATAATAGTAAAATAAGAGTGATTTTTAATCATTTAGTCGGCTTACGTACGTATTAATGTGGAGAAATTCTAACTCATTATTGTAGAGTAAATGAATTTTTTCTCGTTTGTTTGATATTCATATGAAACATTTATAACAAGTTTAATTTATAAAGTTCACGAATGTGAGGTTGGTCTAATGGTAATATTATTAGATTTGAACTTGGAGGCCATAGGTTCAAATCTCTTAAGTAGTATCTAATAATAAAATAAAAATTTGTATAACCCTAATCTAATAAAAATATATAAAAATTTAAGGAACATAATAATGGGGAGTGGATTAGGTGAGTAACCTTTGTGGTGAGCAACAATGAGTGATCCAATTAGTCGTCACCACATCAGCGCCACTGTCACTTATGAAAGACCCCTAACTTTTTCCACTTTAATTTTTAAGAGACAATCTCTCTCTCGTTTTAAGTAGTAATGAATTTTTTTTGCAAAGATAAATCACAGTAATTGTGCTATTCAAATTAGATTCACTTAGATATATTTTTGGAACATAAAAAAATTGAGACATTTATTACCAGTCTATACCATCATGGTATTGATTGGTATTAAATAAGAGCATACCATGGTGGTATGAACATACCATATTATATGATGGTTGAATATATGATAGTAGGAGTATACTAACTGTCATTTACGATTTTCAACATTATGTACCACAAGATACCTTTCACATACCATGATGGTATGAGGTGGTATTTTTTGGTCATGTATTTATTTCCCCCAGAAATTTGTAGATTCAATAGATCATGATGAACTCGTTCCTTCTGTGCATGTATTTTCAAAAACGACTTAAAACAAATGAGATAACATATGGTATGAAGTTGGTAACGAGAGGTATGCAAATTTTTTCTAAAAAAATATTGAAAATGAATCTCATTTTGTAGATCACAAAGAACTCATTCTATCTGTGTAAAAAAAAAAATTGAAATTCAAGTTTAAACGAAGAAGATAAGATTTGATTAAGAAAACGAGGGGAAATAAAATGTTTTGAGTTGTATGTTGAGTTATGATTTGTCTTTGTATAATGATTTTGAATGTATAGGTTTGTTTGAACGCAAACAAAGATGAGTTGGACACACAAAGTAGGAAGTTAGTAGCCTTGAGTGGGAGAGTCTTGTCTCTTTTACAGGAGAGTCCATAATGGGCTCTACCTTTCGTTGTATCAGTCTAGTATCGTGCTTTGCGATACTTTGGTTAATAATAATAGAAACTGATTCAAAAAAACAAGAAATAAAATGTTTTTAATTCTCAACCATTAAATCTAAAGCTCACTTAAAAGGAAGGGTTCAGATTTGGTTACTCAAGTTAAACGTATGCCATAAGGTTACTCATCCTATTTTGAACCCTTTAAATGATGCATAAAATCTCGTACTATTGTTACCATAATATACTCGTGTAGTATTTCTACACTAAAATTGGCAGTTCCTATCCAGCCTGGAAATTAAAACTTGCACTACCATTCAAAATTTCATGCTCTCATTGTGATTTTTGTAGGGGTATTTTGAGAAGAGGGTGTCAATTGTGCTGTCGACAGTAACCCGTCCGCATTATGGCCCAAAATTCATGTGTCCAACCCATTTTTAGTCGTTTTCGTCTCGGTCGATTTCAGCGACGAATTGGCAACCCCAACCTCGGCGACAGAGCTTTGAAGTGTTTGCCTCTTCTCCCTTCTAGATAGGAACTACCATTTTGGTATAGCGCAAACGATAGAGAGAGTTGGCGAGAGGGGTCGAGGGTAGAGTTTGCAGCTTCCATTCCCATTAACCCGCTCCTCTGACACACCCATCGCAAAGTATTGGGCGCAACGGGTGAGAATAGCGGGTAAATATATTGCACTAATAAATCACACGCTTGTAAATGTTCCTAGGTAAGTTGGACCTGGCGACAAGCCTCCAGAATTACGGTAACCAACTTCTTTAGACCAATTTACTTCGGTAATATTAATAATGCAATATACTACGACTATCCTCAAATATAACAACAAGCATAGATAGTAAGTAAATAACACCGAGGATTTACGTGGTATACCCTGATTTTGGGCCAGTCCACGGGAACAGCAGCTCCGGAGTATTTCTTCACTATAACAATGGTAGGTTACAGAGATTTTGTCGATACAAGAAATAGAACACACGGTGTTTCCCAAACAACCTCACTATTTCACTCCCAAGGAAATCTCATATCTACCTATGGTTGTGAAAACGTTTCACAACCGAAACCCACAAAGATATACGAACAGGAGCAGAGCACAAAGGAAATGAGGAAATGGAATGGAGAGGGATGCTGAATGATGGGATCTTTGTATGGCTTTTATAGCCAATTGTGAGCAGAAAAAATCAATGGGATTGGTTGGATCCAACTCCCATCCGTCCACCTCCCTTCACTAAATTTTATTTTTATTTTATTTTCTTTTTAATCACCACCAAAAACTTGTTGGCTGCTTCTCAACCATATGTAGGCGGTCCCAACAATTCTCCCCCACCCGACTACATAGGAGGTATCGTCATCCATGTTGCTGATACACAGAACTCGAACTCTGTCTATCACATACCAGCTGCACTCGTTCCTGTTGGAAACCATGTTCTTTCAAGAACTTCTTCATCCATAACATCTCCTTACACGCTTCCATTGCCACAATGTACTTAGCCTCTACCATGGAAAGAAC